AGTGCAGTGGTGTGGGAATTATGGACATATGTGCTTCACATGGTTGCCCTGCGTCAATGCGTTTGATTATTTTTCTCATTCATACACTTGCTGGCGTCTAGTCTCACTGCCAAGTGTAATGTATATTCACTATCAGTTCTCTACGACTCATGCATGCAAAAGCAATATAACCCTGCGGATATGTAACTGAATCCGTCTGTGCAGAAATATAGATGTTATATATATACATATAGATTGTACAGATGTCAAGACAAAAAACACAGAAGACAATAAAATGACAGCCATGCTAAAGGCTGAAATCGAGCCAAATAAAAATGGCTCAGACAGAGTGCTCTTAAAGGAAAAAACACAACTGGAGAGCTGTTTTGTACTTGTCTCAGGGCTAGAGAGTAAATCTCACATTTCAACACCCTCATTCTCTATTCCCCTCAGCTGCACCGTCCACAGATCACTCAGAGCCCCAGTTGGACTCCTCTGTTTACCCCTTGTTCTCCTTTTCTTGCACTTAAGCGACACTAAGGGTGAGGGGTGCCGGGTTAGCCGCTGCAGCAAGGCGCACATGCTGTGTGGGTCCAAATAAAAAACGCTGCTCGATCTGTCTTCTTCTGCGCTCGCTGAATTATAGAAGACCCTCTATTGCACTCGAGCTGCATCGGTTTTCATCACAGTGCTGGAGGTCACTTTGACTTTCCCCTCTTTGCTCATCATATATGCAACACGAGGGCTTCGACAGAAGAGAGCCTGCTTGACGTCACCATTAACCAAGGAAGACCGACAATGAGATTTATGGAAGAGGAGACAGAGCTGAGAAGAGGAAAGGGAGGAGAAAGGCATGCATGGGTAAATCTGGCGGTGGTAGCAGAACCCCTTCATCTGGGCCCTGCTCTTAACAGCAATTTCAGATATGGTACTGTATCTGCATGTATAATGCATACGCCCTAAGATAATGGCATGCATTGCAGAGCAGGCTGCTGACTGTGTTGTGGGGATGTGTTGGAATTGGTCCCCTTTGTCACATTTGCCTCGGCCCAGGTCCCCTCGCAGCATCCTGCAGTTATTAAGAGCAGAGCGTGTTCGGTGACATACTGCTGCTTTACCGTTCGCCGCAGACGTCCTCCGCTACAATACCATCAAGATTAGTGGCCGGCTGGAGAGTACTAAAGCGTGCAATATCTGCACTGACCAATAAACTAAACAACAAGTAAGGAAAGAAAAGGCAATTACGGTTTGTTTTTGTTAATATAAAAATCATGCCGGGACACAGAAGTACCAGCAAAACAAATTTTTTTTACTGCAATTCTTTCCATTACAAAGCGTATCATTCATCTAAATATTTGTTTTTCGTCTGACCAAGACAAAAGTCTGGGGGGTTCACTTCTGGTTGAATATACATTGCAGAACATAATGGGGAAAATTAACCACAGGCCAACTGTCACAAAATGTCACAGTGCAGCATCAAAGTGGTGATATCCTGTGGGTATCTGCAGTGTGAGCATCCACGCTACAACGCATTATGCCCTCTAAGGCCCGAGTCTGCATCTCTGTGAGGGGGCCTTATGAGGGAGGCGCCAACCGCCCTGGGGTGGCCCTCCACAACGCAGCCACTGATAAAACACGGTGGACTGATCACAAAACATTCCTGTTTCTAATAAACCCCACCGGTCCCATGTGATTCACTTTGACATCCATTTACAAGTCATGCTTAATAAAGACGGCATCTTCATGTCCTAATTCCCCGACTCATCACTGTAGGTACCAGCGACAGCCCCTGGCCCTGGCTCCCCCTCCCCCCTGTCTCCACCACGTTTGACCTACTTCTGTCTGCACAACATTGTAAACAGATCTACTAATTGCCTTCATTTATTCATTTGGAAGTCAAGTTATGTTGCGGATGGCGCCCTCCCAGCTCATTCATGTGTAATGTGTACAACGCAGGCCCTTCCCCCCCAATGACTCGTCCATGTGTATTCGCAGGAAACCCCATACAAAAGTATCCCATGAGGCCATGTACGATTATAAACTGTACGTGCAAAAAATTGTACAGTACACTGCCTAGAAGAGCTGCAGCAAGAGATGAATCCCCAAATCTGAACTCATCTCCTGGAAGGAACTCTTCTTAGCAAAAACCACTGACCCAAAAATCCACGCACGTTATGACTATTGTAGTTAAGATACTTTTCCGCTCCTGTGGTCTTATACTGTTATTGCTTTTCTGCAGCCAGATAAATCCAGGCCACAAAAAACAACAGCGACAAAACAATATTTGTTATCGCCTCTGAGGCTCACGACAATGACTCCCGATGACTAAGTGTGAGCATGGAGATGTTTTCTCCTGACCTTTAAAAAGTTCATGGCACGTCTGTTACAGTGTTACCGATCTCCAACACATCTGATAACAAAATGCAAACAACTAACTCTTTAACAGTGTGCTATTTCTGCTAAATTAGTCTACAAATTGTGTTCATTTAAGGAACAGAGATAGTTATGCCTTTATCATTATCCACTGTGTTTCCTCATCATATCAAAAAAGTTACATTTTTGTGTTTAACGGTCGCCAAAAAACTTTAGTTATGAGTTAAATTGCCTTAAAATAAATGCAAGTTATGAGTTTTTTAGTTACATTTGAATAAATGTATTATGTCAACAAATTACACATAATTGTATTAGGTTAGGTAAAGTATAAGTAACACATATTCGGTTAAACTTAAACTTAATATTATTGCTTTCAACTAACCTACAGTAATACAATTATGTGTAATTTGTGGACAGAATAGATTTAGTTAACTCCAACGTTTCATTTGTTGAGTGTTATTCACAATAGCTCATTAGAATTTGAAAATCTACCCCAATTATTATTTTACATGGCCATGATTTAAGCCCTTAATGCTATCGAACATGAACAAGGACTGAGAATGATGCACATTGACAGGCTAACAAAGAAAGACCCCCTCTTCACATTTTAGTCCATCTCTAATGGCAGATGGGTCAACAAACAAGAAAAAACTAACCCTTCTCTGTCTCATGAATCATGACAAACTGGGCGCTAGCTAAGGTATGACAGCATTTCACCCCAATAAAAGCTGAACTTGAAGGATAGCTTTGGTTCCACTGATCTCGATCCAGGTCAAAGGGTCGTGTTTGAGGAGCAAAGGAGGCCGGCTTCTCCCTCATCTATGCTACGATTGGTGCCCGCTGAGAGCTGGCGTCCCCCAGAGGCCTCAGCAAACCCTGTTCCTGTGTGTGAGTGTGAATGAGTCACGTCTGGGCTGGAGCGTGTCTGAGTGGCGAGGCGGAGGATTCAGCAGGGAGGACTGTGCAGGGCAAAGAGTTGTCTCTATAATCCAGGGTAAACACTAAGCAGCATGACTTCACGCCTTAGACGTGACCAAAGCCGGGAGAACAGAAATGGATGAAACCATGAGGCTGCTGCTTCGTCTGCCTGCTCTTCTTATTTTTTCTCCCTGTTCCGTAATTCCTCTCGGGATTTGACAGAAGTCTCTCAATACTGAATTAACCTCTGGATGGCACTGCTGGTGTCTGTTGTTTAAGGTCATGCAAGACTCAAACCTGGCTTTGCAAATATCATATTGTCTGCTATTTGCGGTCGGATATCGAGAGCACTGTCTTGTTAATGGCTTCTAGGAGGCTTGAGGTTCTGATAAGACTACAATACAAATTACACCAAAGGTCTTTGCTAGGAAGTGTGATTTGAAGTATAGAAGTTCAAAGTAATGGGATTCTGCGGGACACCCCACGGAGTAAATATAACATATATAGATTGGTAAACACACAATGAATGTTCTGCTCCTTTTTATGAGTTAAGGGATATGCACAAAGGATTAAATCGGTTTAAAAAAAAGAACACAAAGAAGCCTACATCAAAAAGAAGAAGAATGTTTTAGAAAAAGGTTTGCTCTCAAAGGAATAAAGGTTTCCGGTGTCCATTGGTTTAGGCAATTTTGTTTACTGAAAACATACACATGAATGCTTCAAAGAGTTTATATTTCAGTTTACCCAGAAGCTGTCAAAAATAAAAGGACTGTCACTGCTTCCTCTGAAAATGCTCAAAAATGCCTGAATACTCTTTTCATTGGGTTTGAACATGCAAATGGACAAATGATGAAAGTCCTGGGTACATCGACACAGAACCTTCAGGGACTCATCAGATTGGAAAGCAGATGATTTGAAGGATTTTCTCATGTAAGCTGGACATCGTTTTTCCTAAAATAAGGAAGGTGCCAACGTGTGCTGCTAAATCTTATCTTTCAAGAATTAATAAAAGCAAACAGTTTTCCTGTGCAGCTGGAAAAAAAGACTTAACAACAGAAAAAGAGGAAGTTTCAATCATGTAACTTTTAAAAGCAGAGGAACAGATAAACAGAGCGTGACTAAGAGGTAAGACTCATGTCATGTATCACAATTAAAGATTAGGGCTGGGGTATGGAGAGGATTCAATATTACAATCTTTTTTACCAAATGCCTATAACTCTATTTTCCAACCACACTGAAGGTTTGGCTATCGGTGCATTCTCAACATACTTAGAGACTTTTGATAAATAATCTTCAGTAATGTTGATACAATGACCTAGTTTGTAAAGACAAATAATACAAATTACACTAATTTGCGGTAATAAATGTTGAATCCAGGACGATGCAAGATTCAAGCCACATGACGACCCAAAATCTAAGACGATATAGTTTCTTATCACGATATTTGACGTTATATTGATATATTGTCCAGCCCTATGTCAGATGTTGTTCTTTAGTGGCCAAAGACGGGTGGAGTTGCTCAAACTGAGCCTGCCAAATTGAGCAGAGGAGGTCGAGACACTCGAGTGACTTCTCCCCCGATGTGAGCGTGGCGGGGACAGATGGACAGGAGACGCTGTAGAGGAGCAGGAGCAGACCCTGCCAGCTCAGTGTCAGTCCATCCGCTCCATCCCTGGCTCCCTCTCAACTCAGCCGGACGTCCTGTAAGCCAGCCAATGGAGAGCACCCACCGCATCATGACCCCCGCATTAGGATCTGACATGGCTGTCTTCATTTAACCTTTACTTATACCGGGAAGTCTCGCTGAGAAAACACCCGGTTTACAGTCGCAGCCAAAACAGACTGTTGCCTTTGAGCTAAAGCTTTCTAGCTCTTGGCACGATATCTTTAGAGGAAATGAAGAAGCATTTCCCTTAAGGGTTTTGAATGATTTAGAAAAAAAAGCATTATTAGAGGAGTGTGAAAGGGATGCTGGGGAGATAGGAAAGCCTTTAGGAGCTGGATTGGAGAAGCTTCTGGTTGCACACAGGCAGGATTTAGGGTGATGTAGGCGTCTTAATTTAAGGTCCGTCCTCCTATGCAGGCAGGTTTATTACTCCATTAATGGACTACCATGAAGTAACAGCGTGTATGAAGCCACTTTATCTACGGAGCTTGTGTTGCTCCTACTTAATTGATAACATCATTTTTGTTGTTCAAAATGAGCTTATTTTGTCATTTGTATGAGAAATACCTCGCATAAAACTAAAACAAGCATCACATAATAGTTTTGACGGAGGGAGGCAAACATTTCTGTAAAAAGACCATCAAAGATTCTCTGCCATGCATTTTACTCATCCATCCTTCAGCCCATCCTGTGTTTGAGGGGCATTGTTTGTCCCCTGGAAATATCTACATAAAATATGCTAATGAAATTAAAGAGGGAAGTGTAAGGGCTGATGCTGCCTGGCTGTGAATCTCTAATGACTCCCTGCCATCCCTAGAAAAAAGCCTGATTAATTTAGGAATGTCGGTTGCTCTGGAGAGTGATTAATTCCTCCTGGATTCAACCATAAAACGAACAAGGCAGAGGGGAGAAAGGAAAACAGGGAGCCCAAAATATGGACGCATAATTAATGCATTTGAATCATGTAATTAGCCACCCAAACAGGGGAAAGGCGCAGCTACAGTGTGTCTCTGCTTTGTTCAAGTAATAGGCCACATTTAGATCGCTCTTTCAGAGAGGCAAATATAATGAGCCCCCCTGTTGATAGTGGGAATATTGGACTATCTCTCGGGTTAGTAAATACGGGGAGACAGTTTGAACAAATAATTAGTTGTTTCTTTGATGTCTAATGTGTCCGACTAAACAGAGATAGAATCGAAAACAAGTACATATATTTCTTTGTTTTAAGATTTGTCTTATGATGATACCATGAAAGCATTTTTTCTACTCGTGAAAAGTATCAAGGATCTATTGAGTTGAAAACGCTTCTTTCTTTTCTCTTTCAGAATGATGTGAAGAACACTTAAGGACGACGAGACAGCACTTCAGCTCATCTTTTCAAATCCTTGGAGACACACGGTCCCAGGTGCTTTGTCTGAGCTCTGTATTTTTTGGAGCCCTATGGGGATGGGAACGTGCTTTGATAAAAGATGGACTTGCTGTGGCCCTGCTAAAGGTCACCGTCCTCTAAAGGTCATGTCATGGCCCCTGGCCCTGTGGCTATTGACTCTAATCTCTGTGAATCAAAAGACGACTGTTGGACAGACTCTGAACGCCTTCCAATCGGAAAGGAGGGATTGGGCGCTGAACCACCTGACTGTGCATCAGTCTACAGGAGCTCTGTACATCGGAGCTGTCAACCGAATCTACAAGTTGTCAGCTAACCTCACCCTCCTGGTGTCCCATGATACGGGGCCGGAGTATGACAACAAGGCATGTTACCCTCCACTGATTGTCCAGCCCTGTTCTGAGCCGCTTGCATCTACTGACAATGTTAACAAACTGTTGCTCATCGACTACTCCCAGAACCGGCTGCTGGCCTGCGGGAGTCTGTACCAGGGCGTCTGCAAGCTGATGCGGCTGGATGACTTGTTCATCCTTGTGGAGCCCACGCACAAGAAGGAACACTACCTGTCCAGTGACAACCAGACAGGGACGATGTACGGGGTTGTTGTGCCCTCGCAGGGTCAGGATGCCACTCTGTACATCGGCACGGCTGTCGGCGGCAAACAGGACTACTTCCCGACTATCTCCAGCCGAAAGCTGCCTCGTGACCCAGAATCCTCTGCCATGCTGGACTACGAGCTTCATACTGACTTTGTGTCCTCTCTGATTAAAATCCCCTCAGACACGCTGGCTCTTGTCCCACACTTTGACATCAACTACATCTACGGTTTCGCCAGCGGCAACTTCGTCTACTTCATGACAGTGCAGCCGGAGACACCTGAGAATGGGATGCCCGCCGGCGGATCCCCTGGCGACCTGTTTTACACCTCTCGCATAATCCGCCTCTGCAAAGGTGACAAAAAGTTCCACTCATACGTGTCGCTTCCTGTGGGGTGCGTACACAAAGGCGAGGAGTACCGTTTGCTGCAGGCGGCGTACCTTTCCAAGGCCGGCAGGGTTCTGGCAAAGTCGCTCAACATCAGCGCACAGGAGGACGTGCTCTTTGCCGTTTTCTCCAAGGGACAGAAGCAGTGCCACGACCCTCCAGACCACTCCGCTCTCTGTGTCTTCACCATCCAAGACATCAATACACGCATTAAGGAGCGTCTGCAGTCCTGTTACCAAGGAGAGGGAAATCTGGAGCTGCACTGGCTGCTGGGGAAAGACGTGCAGTGCACCAAGGCGGTAGGTGGACTATAGAGGGAGAAATGGTCTGATTTGCCACTTATAACACACATTTAGTTTCAATATAAAAGGTGGTGAGCAGCATTGATATAGATTTACTAAAAATGGGTTATCCACAACAATGATTGCAGCTTTAATAGCTTATAGGCAGGGAACAAGAACTTTGCTGAAGACACCATTGAGGTTGTTTAGGATCCCACAAGAGCAGAAGAGCTGGAGGAGATTAATTCCACAATGCTAATCAGAGGAGTTCTGTATTGAGCTTTGATTTTATTCAGGTTTGAGCACTGACTCCCACTCCCCCGCCCCCACTCTCCTTCCTTCTACTATTGTCGCTGTCAGCAGTTTTGAACCCTTTGAGACCTGTTCTTGATCTTGAGAAAAAAGAGCTTTCTTGTAAATGTCCAAGTCTGTTCCCTCAGTGAAAGCTATAATTCTGCCTAATGAGTGGCTTTCATCGAAACAAGTTGAAAGCGACCAATAAAAACAATGATGTTCATCGCATCCATGGCTCTTGAATTTCACAACATGTACTTTGATTTCACCATGCCATCAAACAAATAAGATGTGATGTAATTCATAAAGGCAACAGAGGGAGGAAGGAGACCCATAATAATGCTATAAATTGCTCTGACCGTGCAGTTAACCAAAGAGCGTTATATTTCAATTACACTGTTAATGAAAGGTAAGGTTCCAGCTTTGTTAAGATGTCATTAGATACTGTGTGTATTTGGTAACATGATTCATTGGTTAGGGTTAGGGCTAGCCACAATGTTGCTTTTTGGGGATGTGTTGTTATCAGATATTCTCCTTCCTGTGTCAAGTAAAAGAACAAAACGACTTTAATAAAAATATTAAAGACCAAGGGGGTTTAATAAGATGCTGTACCTAAACTTACTTTATATAGTAGACTCCCAGACTCCCAATACTCTGAAAGGCTGTACTAAGTCAAAGGGGTGCATTATGCTAAAATTTCAGGGGTGTCAAACTCAATTTCATCGCGGACCACATCAGCATTATGATTGCAATCAAAGGGCCGGTTGTAACTTTAAGAGTTAAGAAAATATATAAATACATATATAATATATATAAAATAATGTATTATATTACATTACTGCCTCTGCATTGGATTATTATCGGATAGGGTAATAACTTCATAATTAACTACGTCTGAAAGCAGAAGTCTATAATTGCAAGTCTCTTCAATGAGAATGTCACAAAATGATTTATAAAGAAAAGCCACATTCTTGAAAAAAAAAAAAAAAAGTGAAATATTGAAAATACATTTACATAAAAAAAAAAAAAGATTCTTAGCAAAATCAAATTCTAAGAAAAACTGCATATTTTGAAGAAAGAAAGTGAAACTCTGAGAAAAAGGGTCTAATTTGAGATGCATTGTGGGACATGTAGTTTATGGGCAACGTGCTTCTGTAAATCCCCATGTAACCGTATAATAAACATATTATATCTTTGCAAGCTCTTGTGGGGCCACATAAAATGAGGTTGCGGGCCGGATTTGGCCCCCGGGCCTTGAGTTTGACACCCCTGTGCTAAATGGTCATTTTAGCACTCAATTCAAATGCTAACCTGCTAAATTATAGCAGCTTTAACCATGCTTAGTTGTTAAGATGCTAACACAATTAGAAAAGTTTGCTTGTGTCTAAAAATCAATCTGATGAATGTATGCATTCAATTTCATGGCAATCAGTGCAATAGCTGATAAGACTTATACTCTAAAATGACACATTTCAACTTGCGGTGTCGCTAAATGAAACATAAGGGCATCATTTTCGTCAGTAGGATTCATCCTCTGGAGACTTTGAATGTCGGTTGATAAAATGAATGCCTTATACAATATTTCTGAGGATTATTTCCAAGAAGTTCAAATTTACATAAAAAATGTGTCAGCGTTAACGTCAAATGCAGTGAATAGGAACGAATGAAACTCTTGAAACATATATTCTAATGACTTATGTTCACATAAGCAAATACAATATTTAGTTTCAAAAACGAAAGGCAAAGAAAGTCTTATTTGGGGTAAGATAGGAAATGTGTTTTTGCTGAGTTGACTACACCAATCACATTCAGTAGACTAAGGTACATTGATGGAAGGAAAGCAACAAAAGATGAATATGCCTAGGAATTCAAGGAGGTGAAATAAGAAATTAGCTGCCCTAAAAGGTAGATGCATACAGTGAGTGGCAGGCAATTAGCAAAGGCTTGAAGTGAATGTTAGTAGATGTAACAGGACTGCAAAGCATGCAGCTCTCTTTGATGCTTAATCAAAACCTGACATCTTTTGTGCTGAGTGTTTGTGTGATGTCAGATCGAGTGATCTTAAAATCACAGAAAGAGGCGCAAAATACACAGCGTTCCTTGCGTTTGCCATCAGCAATTAGTCTGCCCCCTCGAATTTGCCCGCTCTGAGGCTTGCTGATTAACGCGGCAGAATTAACCTTCTTGAAGTAACCCAGAAAATGGTGCACCTAATGCATGTGGGGCTTGCCAAAGGTCAGTTTGAGTTTTCTCTTGTATTCGTATGTGTCTGCCGTGATCTCAGTCATTTTTCCAGCTCCCACTTACGCTCTTCCCCCTTTCTCGTACCTCCACCTCCCCTCCTTACATCTGTCATCTTCACTTCTCCTCCCTCTCACTCTCCCCTCTTCTCTATCCCTCCCTTTTTTAACCTCTTCTCCTGTTTTCTTCCCTTCGCCTCCTCGAAAACAACATCTCTGACTTTCCACTCTCAATGCCTTCTTCATCTTCTCCCCAACACCTGTCACTAACCCCCTCCCTCTGTCCACGCAGCCCGTTCCCATCGATGATCACTTCTGTGGCCTGGATATAAACCAGCCCCTGGGAGGTTCACAGCTGGTGTCGGGTCGCACGGTGTTCACTGAGAGCAGGGACAGGCTGACCTCTGTCACCTCTTACGTCTACAACGGACACAGTGTGATCATCCTGGGGACCAAGAGCGGACGGCTGAAGAAGGTGAGAACAGAAATGCAGTCACTGACAAGCAGGACAGGCTAAAACTGCCTTTTTCACACACTGAACTCAATACTGAGGGAATGTGTGGTTGTTGACAGCAAAGAGATGCAACCAGATCCACTTGATGACAAATGACTGCACTTACGGTATCTACTCAAAACACAACAATGATTTCTTGAGGCTGCTGCTATTGATGACCCATTGGCATCTCTGTCAGGGAGATTTATCTTCCTGTTTCAGATTTTCAATACAAATGCAAAATGGAGCCTGGTCCTAGACCTCCGAATCACTGCCCACAACTCAAGCGATTTCAAATAAGTCTGATGCAGTGCCCATTTACAGCTACTGCACTTCCTTCCAAATCTAATTAGAGGTTGGGATTAACAAAGGGCAAGACATGTTTCTAAAGCTTACGAGTTAAAAACTAGCAACAGAAAAATTGCTAAAATGCTTGGATGAGATTGATGCAGGCTATACAAGTTGCAACAATCTCAAGCATCAAGTCCAAGCACAGAAATAACTTTAATTGTCCAATTCATATTATAAATGTTGACATTTCAAGTTAATTGCTCCTCATAAGTGCTACATGTCTCTGTCAACTGAAAATTAATCACCAGGACATATTGACGGAGTATGTTTTGTAGGAAGGTACCTGACCTGATGACACTGATGATTTTAAAAGACTTATAATAAAACCTGATAATTAAATATTAAAGTTGTACTCCAGCGATTTAGCACAGCACTCCCTTAAAGTTTGGGGAATTGCGAGCGAAAGACTACAAAAAGAATAGTCAAAATGTCCTTATTAGTAGAGTCAAAGTCTGAAAATGTTTAAACCTACATTTCCCACAATGCAACATATAGCATCTTTTTGTTCGTCCTTCTCTTTGGCGTAAATCAAACTCAAGACCCACATTTTGTAACTAAGGCTCTTTGGTAAGAATTTCACGAGTCCATGCCAAGCCCTAAATCACCCTGATGACTTTATTGATATCAACACTGTCTGACATAACTAAGCTCCTCAAGAGAAAATTGTTGAAATGTCCCTTTAATGTCTTACATCATTTAAAAAAAGTTTCTGCCACGCAACTCCATATTTCCTCATTTGTTAGTCGGCAACTAGAAATCCACCGACAGCTGTTTGTGCCCCTCTTTCTGCCGGGCACATTTAGGTAATAATGATCTTTAATCCATTAACACTAATTCATGTAATTATGTGATCAATTAATACCCTAATTAGCATGACTAGTTATGTTTAATGTATCATGGTGATTATGTGGGACATTATGCTGAACAAAGGTGCAGTAATCATGGAGCGCTGTATCTTCAGCCTTTTGTGCTGAGGACAAATCGATGTGAATTTCCACCCATGACAACTTGAGCCACGACTGAAGCACAGGCCTGTTCCTCCGGCGCCTTTGTATTAGTTGCATTAGTAACAGGAAATAATGTGCCTCTAGTGCCTCTTGTTTAACACTGTCCTGGTGGATTTTGGTTTGAATAGCGTTAAGCATTATGAAGTATTTAAAGGGGCAATTATCTCTGTGTACTTGACATGGATTTTTGCATCTTAAATAACACAGGGCTGTCTGTATCTTTTAGGCTGAATAAAATTCTTTCTTGTGTATTGTGAGTAGGGATATTTTTGTTTTTTAGTTTTTTCGGAAGGGTATCTACAGTAAGTTGATTACATATGATCAAATGGAATAATTCAATGTATATAGTGCCATAGCTAAGTGTATTAGGTCTAAAGGTGTGTTTTGCTCCGCTCACCGGTCCCTCACAGCGGGCAGAGCTGCAGTTGCTGATCTCTCTCTCTCACGTCCGGTTATACTTCACTCGCGTTTATGTCCAAATCCATCAGATCTAGCTAGTTCTAGCTAATGATATGGCTGCTGCCCCTCCCTACACGCAGATCACGCAGACTCAAACCTCATCTTATGCCCAAATTCCAGCTGAGAGGGTCTTCTCTACAGCTGGCCTGATTGTGAATCACCTCATGCTCATATTCTTAAACAAGAATGAGTATTGAATAGCTGCATTCTGTGCATGGCCCTGTTATAGGTTGTTGATCTCTCTTGTAATAGGGTTACGTTACCTTAACCCGTTAGGTTGTTCGTGTATGATCCCTCTTTCATTTAAAAACCAAGTTATGTTTTAAGCATGAAAGCTGTAGGCCTATAGCTGTCAACTGTTCAAACTGTGATCATCAGTTCAATACATTTGACAAATTCGACTTGGTTTCTATACTTATTTGAACATGTAGTTATTTATTTATTCTTTTTTTCAACATTTTTCCTACATTTGTTTTTATAGGATATGTGCATTTCGGTCAATCGGTTAAAAGTTTTTTTGGGGGTCGAATATTTGAATATACATTTGCTTTCAAATTCCCATCCCTAATTGTGAGTCTCCTGTTTTCAAGTCAATCTTAAGTTTTCCTTTGTTTTGGGGATAAGTCTGGTCTGTGTGTTGCCTCAACCTTCATTGGTGTCCTCAAACTATTAAAAACACACACCAGTGAGTCACACTGTTGAACTGGGTGACAAGTTTCTTCATTATGATGAATTTGGGCACAGTGGTTTACTGAATCACCCCACATATATTGTTCTGCTGCCATAAATACTCTCTATCACACCAAATCTGCAGTTGAAAATAGACCGTAACACATGCACATTTCACTCCCACTTGAGAAGCCTTTCTAAAATATGACAGTGCCAAGCTGTTTTGGGAACTACTTAGCTTAAGCCTTAAAATAATATATACTAGTGACCTGTTTTAGAGTCGGCACAAACTACACAGGTTGACACAGGCCAGGTCATTCTTAAACTGTTAATATATTGACTAAAGCCATTGGTTCCGTTGGCATAACATTAGCTTATAATAAGAAAAATTGAATATTGCCAATCATATTCCTTCAAGCTTGCTTTAGTATTCCTTCAGTGTGAGGTTTCTGCTGCTCTGCTGTGCTTGCATCACCCGCTCTCGTGTGGATTGAGGATTAATACAGTACTGACAAGTACTGACTGACAAGTGTATGATTGAAAGGAACTAGTTCAAACGTGTCATATGGCCGTGTCTGAAGGCAGAAGTGTTTATAGCTGTACTGATCGACCGCAGCTGTCTTAGAGAGGGGCGATAAAAGGCAAACATTGAAATGGGAATATTGATGCGCACTTTAAGACTCAGTCACCTTAAAGCATTCATAATGTTGAAAGAAAATGTGAAAAAGTGTAGAAAAATAAAAGGAGGGATTAAAAGAGACTCAAGTTCTGACCATTTAAGGGCTGTTTTCATTAATAAGCAATTAGAAATATAATAATATAAGATAATAGTTGGAAAAAATACAACCAAAAATGCTAGTTCTCTCCGAAGGGTCTAATACCAATAATAGATATATAGTTATTATAATATATGACAAAGAAAAGCCTTACAGTCTCCTATCCAGGGGGCTTGCTTTGCACGTCCACTTCAAATGAGGAGTTTCCTCTTGAATTAAATTACAAGAAAGTAATAAATGATCAAAATTGTTTCAAATGATCTGTCAATCCACAAACATGGCATCATTTCTGCTCTAGACTTCTTTATTTGCTTTGCACACCTGGCCAATCGCTAATCGAAGTGGACATGTAAATCATATTGTCAGTTCCATAAAGATACAACATCGTCAGACATAGTCTCTCAATTTAGACTCAGACATGTGTGACACGCACTTTGTTTGAACACACTGACCATTGAATGCTCCTTGGCATGCCTTAGTATGCATTTAGGTAGGTTTGGTGTGCACAAGCAATCACGGTACAGATGTACTGGAAACAGACATCTATAGAAACGTATCATCCACTCAAATGTTCCTCCGTCTTTTTTTTCATCGCTTTAAGACCCTTTGCACCGGGCCCACGGACATGAGATGACCTCTTTCTGAGCGGTTCATAAAGTTGATTTAGCTCATTGACATCATGTATCATTTGAAATACATAGTGTACTGATATATTATAATCAAGTTCCTATAAGGCTTGTTTTCTGATGTAACTGAATTGACTTGGTAGTACCGGGGGGCTCTGCTTTCTGCAGAGTCGCACAGGCATGCAGCTGACTGAGGAAATGTGTGAGAGGACTGTTGTGACATTAGCCCGGGGGCCTCAGTCTTATGAGGAGCAATCTGTCTGACACACACAACACACACGCTCACACACACAGTCCAGACTGGGAGCACAGATAGCATCACTGCAGCTCTTTCATTGGATGAGCCACAGGGGAAAAAGACAAGATAGCCTGACAGAAAGAGAGAGAACGACTGTCTGAGACAGAGTAATAGCAAAGGAGAGAAACAACAGAAACAGAGGTCAAAATACTGAAATAATAAGTGAGGAAAGGAGGAAAGAATTCAGGAAGAGAGAGAAGTGAAATCACAAAGAAAAAGTATGTTGCATGTTCTCAGGAAGTGAGCAGGAGGTGTGTGTTAGGAACATAAGGAATCCATCATTACTGCTTTAAGTGCAGAGTGTCTAAAGGGCCAGAGTTTGTCATTACTCTGACAGAATGAGCATCCATGATTCAGACTCCCAGGAGCCCCGGAGGAGCACAGGGTCACCTCTCCAAGCCTATTCCATCACCCCTAAATGGACATGCCGAGTGGAAATGGGGCATGACAACAAATGCCATCAGCAGATCATTCCAGCAGCAGGGCCGTTGCAAAGGTCAAACCTGCCAAAGGAAGGGTGTAACCGGGGTCAAAGGTCACAGGGATAACCACCATCCGGGCTGCATGCAGCATATGGATGAATCCGTCAACATCTCTCGTTTAGCCTGCTCCTCGTCCAGATTTATAACAGGATATTTCTATCATCACCTGCCACAGTTTGTTGCCTTAGGCAGTTGATTTTAGCTGAGTAATATGACCCGGTGGGTAACTGATGTGTTAATACAAAGGGGCTTTTGCACTTTACATGACGTGCACTAATGAGGTGAATCCAGGTAAAAGCCATTATTACTCACTG